CCAAGTGCTGAAATGAACGAGACGTGACGCCTGCAACAAGCTGAAGAAAATGTTTTCGTAATATATTTCACTCACGACTGAAGCCAGATTGCGTGCCAAACAAATCACGGTATAATAATCTTTATAAAAGATAAAAAGGTCTACGATTTGGTCGCGGGTACGATACTGCTAGGTTGCTCTCGCCAAAGCAGGTGAATTTTCCTTAGGGAGTTTACAATCGGCTAACCCAGCTAACCCCAGTATGACCCGTAAGGTGACGGGACGGTGTGAAAATGGTTTGTGTTATGCAACATGTACCTATACAAATTGTAAAAAGTTCCAAGCAGATGCCCGGCGGTTAAGGGGGTAGTAAACATACGTTATGCCCGTGGGATTCCGAGGTCGAACCTCACTTGAATTGATAGACACGTGCAACTGCTGAGAACCAGTCAGGTAGTATCAACTGCAAAGTGAAACCTTGCTTTTCAATTCACATTTCGTTTTTCTTCAGTACATAATAACATTTCAGATCTGATTTTCGAAAAGGTGATTTATTGTGTATACTGCCTGAAACACTAACTACTTTCAGAAAAACAACAGGCTCGTGTTATGGATCAGACTGTATATTCAGTGAGAATAACCAATGATGACAGTGATGAAGCAAAACACTGGAGCCTTGGGTGGCTCCGTTATCCAAGCTCCATCACTAAGCTTATCTAGGTTGTGATCATTGAAAAGTCAGTACTTATAGTTAGAATGTTCCTCCTTTACATTCCTTGCAAGACTCGTACGAAACTAACGGGAGTCAGTGAATCTTCTACTTGTACTCCTGCGTATAACTCAGACTCACGTAAAATAGACGCGTTGGCAAATACTAACTAATTCAATCTATTTTTGCGGTCTCAACTACCGGGGAACCGAAGATGACTACATAGTGAACACGGGTTTGAGCTGTAATTCAAAAAATATATATAATAGCCACGTGATTCTTATAAACCTCACAAAATATAAATTTTCATCGCACAAAAAAACGATCAGTTGAATCAAATAGTGTGCTATACCAATAAAACTATCAGTATGAGACGTTTCCATGAGGTCAATCATGAAAGTTCACCGATCAAGGAAAAACAAACTACAACTCTGAAAATGCAATCAGTCACATACATCTCGATTTGTGTTTCAAAGGACTTCCTTTCAAAGGAGATAATGAGCGTGAACCACTAGGACGCCGAAATATCACAAAACCATAATTAACCAATCATATTCACCACAGATCCTTACACTAATGTGATAATTTTGAATCCTAGATATACAAACTTTGCTACTTTCACTGCTTTTCTTAGACGTGGGATTTTCGTGGAGGTGAGAAATGAATACCTCAAATGATATCACTTTGTGATTTGTCTCAATTATGTTATTCAATAATTGAAAGAAATCATTTGAGATCACCTGTGTCAGGTTATTTTACGAGGGAAAATAGCAGCACAGATTTCCGATAAACTCTTTCTTGTATGTAGTAAACTTATTACGTGGGATAGATGAATGAACAGTCGCTTTCTTATTTTCACTACTTATCGGATCAGAAAACTTGATAACATGTGCATGAATAGTTAGATTGTGCACAATGCGTTTCGATCATTGAGGTTCCATTTCTTTCCCCGCCCCTCCATACCTTGAAAAAAAAACAGACTACATCACTGTTCATATTACATATTCTTGCGCACTTAGCTTCCTAATCATCGCAGACATCAGATTTAATTTCACCGTCATCAGCTGTCCGACGATAGTGACGACGACTTCACAGAAGCCGTCATATTAGTCCGCAATCACCATTTAATCGCTTCAGTGTATTCCACAGTAAATCCGAAAAATTGCGCAGGACATTTGTTTACACATTTCGCCAGTAGCCGCTATCATGAAATTTTAGTTCCTGGTCATAATGAGCAACAAAACTGAAATGTGTGAAAAGAAATCACTACGTAGAGCGATTTGGCTGCTTCTGCGCAACAAACGATATAAAATCTAGGATTCCATTAGCGGTCACAGTAACGGCGATTGATCTCCACAATATGTGAAAAATCAGGGCCTTCATGCCCAGCAACTTACAGTCTGATGAAGTCGACGAAATCTTGTTGTCAAAGAAACATCACACACACACACACATCGATTATCCCAGACAAATCATTTGATTATATCGTGTAAATGGAAAATGAAAAACGGTCTGATCAGCTGCCCGATGGCTGAGTGGGTAGCATGCTTGCGTTTTGCCCATGAAGTTCCGGGTTTGATCCCCAGTTGGATCGATGGATTTGCACTGCTAATGAGACCTAACCATGTCGAAACAGCTGTCCAGGGCTTCCTAGCTTTTCAGTTCACGCTTCGTTGGCTATATGCACGACGAATTCAGCTTTGAAATTGAAAAAATCCTCCATTACTCATTTCATTTCAATCGGATAATTATTCTCTGATGTCTCGTTATTTATCTTTGGATATCTGTAAGATGCTGTATTTAGTTAATCGACCAAGTACGGAAAACAAGTCCGTCGTTGATTTGGGCGATTTGGCAGCGTAACACAAAGGCAGATAGTCAACCAGATAGACAGGATAACGAATCAAGAAAACTGGAAACGAGATAATCGATATGATTGGCCTGATTCGATATAGCTTGGTTCTGATGGCGCGGGAGCTAGATAGTTCGTCTAGTAGATAATGTAAACTTAACACACAGATGCACAGTAACTCCCCTCACATATACACACACCGCATTGTAATACCGCTCTATAAATTTATATTAGCACGGTTCAATGAGCGCGTGCATTTGGGATATCGAATCTGATAGAAAAACGGGATAAGGGTGGAGAGAGGAGGAAGTGGAATAGAGGCGAACAGAAGTAATCGGTGGATTACAATGCAATGGAGCGAAAGAAACCAACACGAGAAAGAATGTACAGAAAAAAGCATCGGTTTGATGTACGAGATTGGGAATCTAAAGTACCAAGTTAAATCGGCCATCGTGGGAAAGAATACAAGTGAAACCGAAAAATGAAATTCAGCGAGGGAACGATTAACCAACGATTATATTCCGACCGTTCGATCTGGGAAGAGTAGACGAGATCGAATTAAACTTTCGACGAGAGGCACATCGACAAGGAAAATCGGTACGCGGTTTCTAAACTATGGCATCCGTTTCCCAATTTTCATCAGGAGGTGGACAGAAATGGAATAAAATACATACCGTCGATTGTTAAAACGATGTAAGGGAAGGGGTCAAAAAAAGACAGATCGAGCTAACGGACTTTCTTTGGTAAAAAATGAAAAAAATCGTGACTGCTTTTTGTGACTAAGAATGCCAATACACAAAAACTGGAGCCCATCTGGAACCAAAAATGCGCTTTGCGCTGTGCTCATGTGCCACGGACAATGATCAAACGCTTGAAATACTTCAAAGGTACCAGAAGCAAGTGCTGTTAGATATATCGCGTCGGAAAAAATATAGTTTCGCGAATGTACAACTTGACTCTATTCATGCTTGAGAGGGGAGAGTTAGCGTACCCGCACAACATCATCGCAATGAGATCTTATCTAAACGGACTGATTGCCAAGCCGTATGTGAACAGCAACTTAGAACGTAATGAGAGTGCTTTCGTCCATGGCCATGGTTGCTTGATTCAGTGAGAAAGCCGCAGGGGGGTCAAAAGTGAATAATACCATAAAGCGAGAACCTGAACAACGATGCGTAAAGCAAATACCGTTCTGATATACAATCCCATCAATCCTCGATTTACGCCCTCATGACGGTACTTTTATTATTGATTACTTCAGTGAGAGATAATTTGAGTTCTGTGAAGAACTGTAATCAGAACGTCTCCTGATCCGTGAAAAATAATAGATTATTCGGCGCATGACATTTCTATGAGCATCACCTGACAATAAGCAGACAAAACAATTCGTGAATAATCAACGTGGTGAGGCAGCTTCAATCAAAGACTGAAGCGAGATCGCTAAACAATCAATAACGTTCGGGACCATGTTATTTGGTGTTACATACAGTATTGATATCGTGTTGCACTCATAAAAGGCATGGATAAGAGAAACCTTTTAAGGGTGATGAAAATTCAGATTTGAAAAGAAGGTGCGAGCTACCGCAAACAACCCAAGAGAACGGACGCGTGACGTACAGTATCAAACATGTAGATGTCACTAGTCTCTACGCTATTCCCGTTCCAGAAAACGAAACTGTAATCAATACCTACCGGCAGGACATGTGCATTCGGAATCCCCTTGGATTTATGCACTGGACTAGGCGAAAAACCAGACTGAGGTGGATCGCCTAGTTGTCGAATCGGAACCGGAGCTGTCGTTCCCCGACCGGATGCGAACAGATTGAGTTGGGACAATCGAAGACGACGTACTTTCATTCCGTCCGGCGGAGACGGCTGAATAGGGGCTGTGATGGGGGGTGTTTTTGCTGTCGTGGAGGTGTTGATCGCCGAACCGGGAGATTGGATATCCATGGACTGATGCAAATGGTTGGTTCCCGCAGGGTTTGGAGGCGAATGACTTAGAGAAGCGCCACCATTGGTCATACATATGGTACCTAATTGCAGAAATGCATACGTGCATGTGATCGAAAGTTTATGCACAATCAATAAACAATCAATATGCTCAGACCGTTAAAGAAAGAAAGAGAATGATTCTCAATGTACAGGAAAATACACTCGGGTCATAAGGTGAACCGAGGTATTTGATTGAATACAACGGATAATATAATGAATATCGATTGAGCGTTATCGCTTAAACACCCAGTTAACTATGAAGTACTTGGAAAAATATCGTAGCGTTCCTTTTACTACACGCCCTTGTGTGTGGTGAACAGCAAACGAGGGAAACCCAATAGTCATGAGGACCTGTTGCCCACCTATACAAACAGCCAATCTAAGACCCGGGACTCGGAGTGGCGAACCACATAAGGCCCCGCTGGGTCCTTTGTAGCACTGAATCAGGCGACAACGAAGATGATCACCAACACATTCGGGTGGCTGGGAATGGGACCGCCTACCCCCAAGGCACGCCAATGACAGCAACTTAAACAAGCAACGGGAGAAGTAACAAACGAACGTTCTTTCGGATGCTCAGGCTTTACAAATGCGTAAAACCAATAATATGGGCTTCCTAAGATTCCAGGCAGTCATGACAACTTCAATAAACTAATTGCTGTTTCAGCTTGCAGAGAATCACATAGGGGTCAACTGATGCACTCCACTTTGGTTGCTTTGCCTCATCAGCTCGCGACTGACCAAAAATCCTTTCATGAAAGTCAGTAATATCAAACAAAAAGAACATTATCTTCGAAAAAAGAACGCTTGTAACTTCGCTATCACTTAGGGCCTAAGTAGAAATGCCAAGAACGGAGAATTGAATATCCGTCACAAACTGGAGACATTTGAATTATGTGTCTGGACAGAAAAGAAAGTTACAGAAACCATCAATTACCACCTTACCTCAAAGTCCACATCAGAAGGACCACCCTATTTGACGCGGTAAATGCGAGAATGGGGAGCATTGACATGCATCGATGTGCTGGACTGAGTCAGACGGAAGAACAACAACAAAGAAATGTTTGCGAATCGGCCGAGTGGCATCAGGCTTGCGTTCAAAGCATAGGCAAACAATCGTATACATGCACGCACGCACGCACGCACATATTCTCAAGTGATCAGGATCCAAGTACAGAGTGGTTGTGAAAACGGTATTGTATATCTAGTGGACGAGTTGAATGGGCATCTGCTGTAAAGCAAGCCAGCCAAATGATCCTACACCAAAACAACCGGGAATGGAAAAAGGTTTAGCGCGTGCGATCACACACACACACACGGCCGAGCGCGCATTCATGTGTGATAATGGTGCACGTGCACAGAGAAAATGGTATCGGATCGCACGACGATCCGTGTGACGCACCGTCGGAATTAAATCGCATCAGCGTGCGATGCGATTTCTTTCGTCCTGTTACACACCACGGAGAGATGAAGGAAGATAAGAAACAGATGCAATTTCAGTTGCCGTTGTTGTACACACGTGTGTGCGTGAATATGACCGGATGTGGGTAAGCGAACGGAGTGTAAGCAATCAAAAGAGGGAAGGCGAGGAGAAAAGCAGAAACGATGGTGTGACGCAACGAGGAAAAGCATGGAGCACCGCGGGAACGAAAGCATCCCAATCGGAACACGGATCAGTTATTTGGATATGATATACAAAATACGGATTACGGCATATAACACCCATGAGCATATACCCGCGTGTGAGCAAGCGTAAAGTGAAAAATGCAAACAAGCGAATTCGCATTCGTTATTAAAATGGGCACCGGGCAACGAGTAATGACCGTGCACAAAAAGGAATCCCGGTTGGGAACGAATGTTTGTCAGCAAAAAGTAAATGATTGGATGATTGATTGGGCGAGTGAGTGAGTGAGTGAGGATGCATATAATGACAGCAGAAAAGAAAGCAATAACAGTGATGACAAGAAATTGCGGGTGACAATGTTCAATGCAGAGGGTAGGGTAAGAGATGAGGGCAGAAACAGGGGTAAATGGAGACAGAACAACAAAGTCAGTTATTCGTAAAGATCATTCAGAAGGTGGCAAAACGAATACAGTACCTATGGCCTACGACAGCAGATAGCAGGTACAAATTAGTAGAAAATTTGTTGACTGATCTACTGCGACTCATTTTTGGTAGCATCATGGAATGAAAAAGATGAGACAACTAAAAACACAAATGATTCACCGGATAGTGCGTCAAATTTCCTCCACTGACTGACTTATCAGATTAGAAGTATAAACATTGTTGTACACTAAACCGAATCGGGATAGTGAAAAACAGATAAAACCCAGTTTATGCTTTTGGTTACACACTAACTCATTGCGATGAGATTTAAAGTAACTTTACATAGATATTGGTTAGGACAGAGTAAACTATTTCGGTCACATCGGAACAGAAGGACCTGATCTGTGAATGAGCAGCACAGGACCGGAGCGATTGAAATGGAAAACAAGGAGATATATAATAACGATAAGGAGATTTAAGGAGAAACAGATTGTTGTACGAAGCGAATTGCAAAACTAGGTATGAATGAGAAAAACGGAAGCGATAAACAGACAGACAGGTCAACCGTGCCATAGTGAGGATGAGTACAACTGAGCAAAATTGGATATCAGTTGTATCGCAGGTTAGCAGAGGAGGGGGTTCTATAATCGACCAAACTAAAACACTTACCGGTCAGGTGTAGTGTGGATATATCATCTGCATGGGTTTGATTAGATATGGACGGGAATGTGAGCAGGAACGAATAATAATGAGGGACAGGGTGTGCGTATTTCTATAGATCAAGACTCAAGTGGTTGTGGACGAGGAACGAAAGTGGCATACAACGACCGCGGAGAAAGTAACAGATCGGACGACTAACTTGTGTGCGACCACGCTGTTATGAATCAATGAGTGAATGCAAGCGAAATTCGATGTTAAATCTGTCCATTTTGGCACAAAGCAATCATCTGCGCCGGCACAGTTTTTATCTCGCGTAATTTATGGTTGCCGGTTGTAAAAACTGAAATGAACTGAACATATTTCAACAAACTATTGGCTGTTTTGATTCCTTCAGAATAAAAGTGCGCGCGTGAACACACAAAGAGAGATTCGAAATGAGATGCAGATAATATTAAAAGATACACTGAATGAATATCTCGAGTTCACCCTACCTCATGCAATGGTGAAAGTTAGCCCATGGAATGCTATCGAATACTTTGACCTATTTCGAATGGATCTATGAATGCCATAGAAAACGCTCAGGAAGATCATAAAGTTTCACAGGCGGTGGATACAAAACATGTAACCCGGCCTTTGTGCGAGAACGTACCTCTAGTATTAGGTCAACCAAGAGAGAATTGCAAGGAACTACTGAGTCGGCGAGTGGTCACTAGTGGCTCTATGTTTCATTTATAGACTGAATTCAACTCAAGGATCTGTCAGTTGGGTAGATTTCCTTTATATAATGGAACCAAACAGTTCATTTCATCGATCCACTAAGGTCTACCGGTCTTCGCAAACCGTACGCCATCCCGCTGAGATGAGATCCAACCTGGTTCAGTCTTGTTTCGGTGGTTTCATGGAGCATGGCTTCTGACGTTTATCTCGGATTCATAGTAGGACAAGTAAGAGTACGTGAAATGACTGAAATTAAGGAGGCCAAATACATGTTGAATTACACGATAGTTCACCACCTTAAAGGTCCTACCTCTATCAGATGTAAAATACACTATCATACTGGATTGTATTTTGCCCTAAAAGAAGCCCCGGACGAACTTTTGGTGAAGAAATTGTCAATCGCAGATTGATTTGTTATATGAATGCCAGGAAGAAAGTCTGTATCATGATTTCATGCCGCAAGTGCGAAACTATGGGTTGCGAATGAAATAACAAAAAACCCGGTGGGGTGTTGTAGAGAAAAGAGCATTGTAGCGAATGAGCAAAATTAGATCGGTCGTGGTGCCGGTTAAAAAAGTTAGGAAGGAGTCGCACAACTAATTGCCTGTTCTGTTCTTCCTACTCAACCATTATGAATTTGCATTTTAAGAAGTGTCTTGTCCCCTTCGGCGCTCTTACACTAAGGATGTCTTTTCACATCCGTTTTATGATATACAGTAATCAGTGATCGAACGAATTTCGGGGAGGAGTGGCCAATCAAAGGCTGGGAGAAGTAGGCGGTGATAGTGGGATTCAACCACATGACCTGGCCTGCTACGTGATATTCCTACAGCTTATACCCGAGCGAGGGGCATAGTTATTCGGGATATGGGAAATACAGTTGCCGTAGCCTCAATGCAAAGCTAATCTACCTACGACTACTTTGAGTTCCCACCTCAACTCGCAAACGTTAGCGGACTAGTATGCTTTGATGCGACTAAGATGTCTACAGTGCGGTTATTTTTCAAGTTCCTTGTTTACCATGCATATTACTTGCGACCGAAAGAAGACAACCATTCCTCTTCCTATTACCTAGTATGCTATAGGGAGAATGCATACAACACGCAAACATGTTTACAAATCCATTGGGGATCAACCGGTTACCAGTGTGTGTGTGTGATCTCTCTCACATAAACATCAGACAACCGAGGAGGGGAAAGTAAACGCGGATGGCATTCAAAGCAAGTCGTACAGACACAAGACGACCAACACGGCTTGTGCGCCTTGTTCGATCTGATACACACGAAAGTTTGATGGTATCACAAAAGGAAAACTACACAATCACAATACAGGGAACACCTTGCTTAGTTATACATTATTGTTTTTCAATCTGATGGGATGACTTCGCGAATGCAGGAGCACATTTCTGGAGATGTATGTATCTATGCCAAGAAGTTGCTGTTGTTGTTGTTCGATAACCAAATCAATAAATCACTGAGCGATCAAACTAGATAGGAGGCAATGCCAGTCAAGAATAGATCAGAGAGCCCAAAAGTACGGAATAATCAGTGTGGTTATTTTAGGCAGATGATCGACCGGTAGATGCATACTGCATACGATTTCCATCGAATATGGAGC